ATATCTTGAAAACTAGAGCCAATCAACAATTTTAAGCATCATTTTCGTTCTCTGTGACCCAGAATTAGTAAAGTTTGACTACATTTATTTCAGAAGCATTTTGGCTGCAGAGCAGTGTTATCTACAGATTCAGGTAAGTATTTTAAGTGTCCCTGGAGTAATTTCATATTACAACTCCATAGCTAAAAAATTGTGTAAAGCCTCGCAGGATACTTTGAAAAGCATTTTGTAGAAAGAGAATTCTGCTTATCATGTACTTTCTATGAATCTTTCCCCATTTTCTTTATTATTAGTAATTATCCTGTTTTCATGAAACTTTTGTTCTTCTTCGAGTGCTTGTTCATGTCAATTCCAATCAGGTATGCGTGCGCGCATGTGCACAGTAGCCAGAAAGATTTTTCCCCTAGCAGCATCTGTGGGGTCGGTCTGGGCGCCCCCTAGGGAGTCGCGCCTTCATGGCACCCAATAAAGGGCCCTGCCGACCCAACACCCCCTCAGTTCCTTCTTACCACCAGTGACGGTAGCTGGAACTTCCCCTTGTTCTTGCTTCGGCAAGCAGCGTAGCAGTACTTTCAGTTTTTGTTGTAGATAGTTAGTTCTAGTTGGTTAGTACAGAGTAGTTAGTTCATTTAAAAGTTTCGGTTATGGGGGGGGGTCCCCCCATTTCTCCCCCCCCCTTATTTATCACTGCGGCATGCCACGATCCCCTGGCTTCAAGACTTGCCAGGACTACACAAAGCCCATGCCTAAAAGTGACCCCCCACACACACACTTCCTGTTTATGGTGTCTGGGCAAGGGTCACCAAAAAGACCGCTGCAAAATCTGTCAGGAATTCTGACTGAGAACTCTTAAGGAGAGGGAGCAGTGGCTTAAAGTCCTCCTCCCAGTGTGTCTTCTTTGGCGCGGAGCGCTCTGGCGCTGTTTTCAGTCAAAGAGAGACACCGCCAAGGAGGTTCAGCACCGTCATGGAGCCTCTCGGGGACACTCCAGCCTTCAGCACTGGTCCGAATCACTGGCGCAGAAGAAGAAGAAGACGGAAAGAGGCCGATCCGCCTCAGCAAAATCCAGGGACCAGCCATCAGTGGCACTTCGGTTGGGCCATGGCTCCGAGGCTCAGAGTGGAGCTATGTCAATTCCTGCCGAAGTGAGGCAGTTGAGTCCAAGGGCGCCCTGCCTT